TCAGTGTTTACGCTAATCGCTGCACCCATTACCCATTTCAATCTCTTCTCTGTCTTTTTTCTTTTTAAAAAGCAATAGTGCAACAGCGTTTTTTGTCTCCTTAATTCTCATTTTGCAACCAAGCGATCGTTTTTTAAAAGTTAAAACGCTCTAGCAAATCAGACACCACCTCATTAGCAGATGAATAAAACTTTATGTTCCGTGGAAATTTCAAAATCATCACTATCATCATTATAATCAAGTGAAACCATTCTTCAACACTGAAATTTTTGGAGAGTTTTTCAACGATTGCATATTCGTTCAGCCGATAAGAGGCGAAAAATGTCGCCACTTAATCGATTGTCCAAGTACTGAATTGGAGGCGAATAAAAATGAATATGTTTCGTTTAATTTCCAATATGCTTCCTTTCCAGACACACACTATCAATAAAGTTCGAACTGCTTTGCCTCATATGCAGCACACTGACTTAGCTTATTGTTAGTGTACTTGTGATTAATTCACATACTCATTCTTGTGAAAATTTGATTTGAATTTCGTGTCGTGCATGAGATTCTGTTTGGAGTGGCTAATTTCCGAGATGCACTTCCTCATAGTTTTATGTTTAGTGAACTGATTCAACTTTGCTTTAATCTGTTCAGTTGGATCAGCTAAAGTCTTGCAGGTGAATGCGGCAAAAAATGTATGTGTGTGATTGATCTATGTGCCGAGATCTTTATTGTTCATTTCTATTATGCTTAATCACAGCTACTAATTATTATACTGCTAGAGAAGTTCGAACTTTCGAAAAAATTCAGAGACGTTCAGAATATTTCCTATTACTTACTATTATAAGTACAATTTGATTATTGACTTCGTCATCTTCATTGTTATCATTAATATTATTGCTAATTTGTTGGGCACTGATAATTAGGGTATCTGTCAATATTGTATAGCTAAAGTATTTAAAAAGCAAAATTTGACAGTAGCATGGAATTTTAAGATTCTTGTCGTAAATCTGTCACAAGTTATATTCAACGTGCTTCGGAGCGGTTGGACNATTAAAAAGTTTAATGTGCGAAATCGCGAACATTGCTATTTAATTTCTAAATGCGACTAAGCACTTATTTCATCACAATTAATCTGTTGAATACGAATTCATTTGTAATTTCAAATGCTATGAAACTCTTCTTCAACCAAAAAACACTAACCATATGTGAATAATGTCGAAAATGATTCATTCAGATGTATTCCTATAACTTATCAATGCATTTGACATTAGCTTTAGCTGTGACTATGGCAGTGAATCTATTGTGATATTTGTATGGCAATAATGCGAGGAATTCTTATTTTCATTGTCATCGTTATGATCATTATAAACTGTAATTATTATCACTATCGTGAATACATTGCTAAAATTATCGTCTCAAATGAAATTTCAGTAGAACAAGATAGAAACTTGAATGAAACCAACGTTCGGATTGGATGAAAATGTGGTGGCAAAGGAAAAAGCCGCAGAAAATGAGTATTGTGAACACTTACCGAATAGCGTGCTACGAAACATCTTTAAGCATTTATCCTATCAAGACATATCGAAATGTCATCTGATTTGTAAACATATTCATAAATTTTTATGTGATCACGTAAACGATTTTGAACGACCGCATTTAGACGATTTAATGTTCGTTCATTTCATTTCTCGAATTTGTTCGCTTTCACAGTTGGATATTTCATATTTTGGATTCGTTTCATCTGACATTCCTTAATGGTTGAAGTATTTTTGAAGTTTTCAATATCACTTGTTAGTTTCACTGAAATTTCAGGACCGTATCAAAATTACCGTAATAAATTGTTTTTTGTGATCTTTCTCCAGATGCAACACATTCAGTCCTGTCTAGTTAGTTCATCACGAGCGATTCATGCTATGAGAGTTTGCTGCTTTCAGTATTGAATCAGTTCGCGAACCGGGTTGGGTTCGCCAACTGCGCTTGGAATTCAAATGTCTCGAATTATTTGGTACTCATGCATGCCTGAAAAAGACCGAGTTCATGGGCACTGAAGACGACTCGTTTGATTGTCAGTTTTTGCATGTTCAGAATTACGAATTTCCTAACGAAACAGGAAATAGTTCAAATTTTATGAATATTTTGCGAAAATATTGCTGATTGGATCTATATTTGCTCTAATTTTATGAAAGAGGGTCGAGTGATCTACGAATATCATTGAATTAAAAAAGTTGGATATCTGCAGGATTGCTAGAAATGATGAAAATTTATACTTTAACTATCAATATCTGAAAATGTCGAGTAATTTCAGCGATTTCAAAGTTGACTCCATCGTTCATGGAACTGATCAATGATAAATGTCGCGCAGTTATTGCAAGTGGTGATGTGACATTCCGTCATATTGTGCTCGATGATTTCGCTCTGAAGCAATTGCTGCCCATATTGGAGCCAACGTAATGCGCTTATTCCTTGGATAATAATCATATCATTGATAGTAATGCTGATAATCATAACAATAATA